CAAAAGCTAAGAGAATTCAGCACCACCAAACCAGCTCTACAACAAATGCTAAAGGAACTTCTCTAAGTGGGAAACATAAGAGAAGAAAAGGACCTACAAAAACAAACCCAAAACAATTAAGAAAATGTTCATAGGAATATATATAATGATAATTAACTTAAACGTGAATGGATTAAATGCTCCAACAAAAAGACACAGGCTCACTGAATGGATACAAAAACAAGACCCATATATATGCTGTCTAGGAGAGACCCACTTCAGACCTAGGGACACATACAGATTGTAAGTGAGGGGATGGAAAAAGATATGCCGTGCAAATGGAGATCAAAAGAAAGCTGGAGTAGCAATACTCATATCAGATAAAATAGACTTTAAAATAAAGAATGTTACAAGAGACAAGGAAGGCACTAAATAATGATCAATGGATCAATCCAAGAAGAAGATATAACAATTATAAATATATAGGCACCCAACATAGGAGCACCTCAATACATAAGGCAGCTGCTAACAGCTATAAAAGAGGAAATGGACAGTAACTCAATAATAGTGGGGGACTTTAACACCTCACTTACGCCAATGGACAGATCATCCAGACAGAAAATTAATAAATGACACAATAGACCAGATAGATTTAATTGATATTTATAGGACATTCTGTCCCCAAACAGCAGATTACACTTTCTTCTCAAGTGCACATGGAACATTCTCCAAGATAGATCATAACTTGGGTCACAAATCAAGCCTCAGTAAATTTAAGAAAATTGAAATTATATCAAGCATCTTCCCCAACCACAATGCTAGGAGATTAGAAATCAATTACAGGGGAAAAAAAAAAAACAACGTAAAAAACACAAACACATGGAGGCTAAACAATGTTACTAAACAACCAAGAGATCACTGAGGAAATCAAAGAGGAAAAAAAAAATACCTAGAGACAAATTACAACGAAAATGTGACGATCCAAAACCTATGGGATGCAACAAAACAGTTCTAAGAGGGAAGTTTATAGCAATACAATCCTACCTCAAGAAGCAAGAAAAATCTCAAATAAACAATCTAAACTTACACCTAAAGGAACTAGAGAAAGAAGAACAAACAAAACCCAAAGACAGTAGAAGGAAAGAAATCATAAAGATCAGAGCAGAAATAAATGAAAGAGAAACAAAGAAAACAATAGCAAAGATCAATAAAACGAAAAGCTGGTTCTTTGAGAAGATAAACAAAATTGATAAACCTTTAGCCAGACTCATCAAGAAAAAGAGGGAGGGCTTCCCTGGTGGCGCAGTGGTTGAGAGTCCACCTGCCGATGCAGGGGACACGGGTTCGTGCCCCGGTCCGGGAGGATCCCACATGCTGCAGAGCAGCTGGGCCCGTGAGCCATGGCCGCTGAGCCTGCGCGTCCGGAGCCTGTGCTCCGCAACAGGAGAGGCCACAGCAGTGAGAGGCCCGTGTACTGCCAAAAAAAAAAAAAAGAAAGAAAAAGAGGGAGAGAACTCAAATCAATAAAATTAGAACTTAAATCAATAAAAAAGGAGAAGTTACGATGGACACCACAGAAATACAAAGCATCATAAGATACTACTACAAGCAACTCTATGCCAATAAAATGGACAACCTGGAAGAAATGGACAAATTCTTAAAAAGGTATAACCTTCCAAGACTAAACAAGGAATAGAAAATATGAACAGACCTATCACAAGTAATGACATTGAAATTGTGATTAAAAATCTTCCAACAAACAAAAGTCCAGGACCAGATGGCTTCACAGGTGAATTCTATCAAACATTTAGAGAAGAGCTAACACCCATCCTTCTCAAACTCTTCCAAAAAATTGCAGAGGAAGGAACACTCCCAAACTCATTCTACGAGGCCACCATCACACTGATACCAAAACCAGAGATACTACAAAAAAGAAAATTACAGACTAATATCACTGATGAATATAGATGCAAAAATCCTCAACAAAATAGTAGCAAACAGAATCCAACAACACATTAAAAGGATCATATACCATGATGAAGTGGGATTTATCCCAGGGATGCAAGGGTTCTTCAATATATGCAAATCAGTCAGTGTGATACACCATATTAACAAACTGAAGAATAAAAACCATATTATCATCTCAATAAATGTAGAAAAAGCTTTTGACAAAATTCAACACCCATTTATGATAAAAACTCTCCAGAAAGTGGGCATAGAGGGAACCTACCTCAACATAATAAAGGCCATATATGACAAACCCACAGCAAACATCATTCTCAATGGTGAAAAACTGATAGCACTTCCTTTAACATCAGGAACAAGACAAGGATGTCCACTCTCAGCACTCTTATTCAACATAGTTTTAAAAGTCTTAGCCATGGCAATCAGAGAAGAAAAAGAAATAAAAGGAATCCAAATTGGAAAATAAGAAGTAAAACTGTCACTGTTTGCAGATGAAATGATACGGCAAGGATATACAATGGAGAAAAGACAGTCTCTTCAATAAGTGGTGCTGGGAAAACTGGACAGCTACATGTAAAAGAATGAAATTAGAACACTCTCTAACACCATACACAAAAATAAACTCAAAATGGATTAAAGACCTAAATGTAAGACCACACACACTCTAAAACTCTTAGAGGAACATGGGAAAAACGCTCTTTGACATAAACCACAGCAACATCTTTTATGATCCACCTCCTAGAGTAATGGAAATAAAAACAAAAATAAACAAATGGGACCTAATGAAACTTAAAAGCTTTTGCACAGCAAAGAAAACTACAAACACGATGAAAAGACAACCCTTAGAATGGAAGAAAATATTTGCAAACAAATCAACAGACATAGGATTAATCTCCAAAGTATATTAGCAGCTCATGCAGCTCAATATTAAAAAAACAAACAACCCAATCAAAAAATGGGCAGAAGACCTAAATAGACATCTCTCCAAAGAAGACATTCAGATGGCCAAGAAGCACATGAAAAGCTGCTCAATATCACTAATTATTAGGGAAATGCAAATCAAAACTACAATGAGGTATCACCTCACACTGGTTAGAATGGGCATCATCAGAAAATCTACAAACAACAAATGCTGGAGAGGGTGTGAAGAAAAGGGAACCCTCTTGCACTGTTGGTGGGAATGTAAACTGATACAGCCACTATGGAGAACAGTATGGAGGTTCCTTAAAAAACTAAAAATAGAATTACCATATGACCCAGCAATCCCACTCCTGGGCATATACCAAGAGGAAACCATAATTCAAAAAGACACATGCACCCCAATGTTCATTGCAGCACTGTTTACAATAGCCAGGACATGGAAGCAACCTAAATGCCCATCGACAGACGAATGGATAAAGAAGTTGTGGTACATAGATACAATGGAATATTACTCAGCCATAAAAAGGAATGAAATTGGGTCATTTGTAGAGACTTGGATGGATCTAGACACTGTCATACACAGTGAAGTAAGTCAGAAAGAGAAAAACAAATATCGTATATTAACGCATATATGTGGAACCCAGAAAAATGGTACAGATGAACCAGTTTGCAGGGCAGAAATAGAGACACAGATGTAGAGAACAAATGTATGGACACCAGGGAGGAAAGTGGTGGTGGGGGGGATGAACTGGGAGATTGGGATTGATGTATATACACTAATATGTATAAAACAGATAACTAACAAGAACCTGCTGTATAATAAATAAATAAATAAAATTAAATTTAAAAAAAATGTAATCACTGAAAGAAGTGACCCCCGGCCCCAACCCTGTCTCAGCTGCTTCAGGCAAGAGGGTTTTAGTCATCAGGTGCCATAGACACAGGACTGAGGACATACAAGTTGGACATACAAGTTTTTTAAGACCCTAGAAAAACCCTTGCACACCACAAACGTTCTCATCGACTCCAATTTACAAAATGAAAATTCCAAAATTGAAATTTAACTAAATGTCCATGAAATACAGTATTATGTCAACTCTCTAAATTGTTCAATTTGTTATCCATAAAAATGTTATATTTGAAAATGTTGAGTGGATTCTTTCACTTCAAGTTATCCCTAACTCTGCACGATGATTTCTGAGAAATCATAGTCACTAAAAATTAAATTGGCAAAATAATCTTGAAAACTAAATTATTGAAAATGCCCTCAAGACTATTTTAAAGCAAAATAATTGCATTTGTAGTGGAATATGGGGGCATTTTGATGTGTGCTATGACATGCGGTGGTGCATGTAAAAGTTAGACTGCTTGGCTCCCACAAAGGTAATTGAACAGCCTTGGTCCCCTGGGACCGGGCCCAACTAAAGCTTTAAAGAGGACATGTGGACACAGACAGGGTAATGAAGGTTCTTGTAGCCAACTGAACTGGTTTGTTCTTATAAACCCAGAGGCCATCTAAGCTGGAAGGATCCCTGGCCATCATGGAGTCCAGTGTAAAGACAGGGCCAGTCTCTGGGTCTCTAGACACCAATCCTCTTTGTATAGGATGAGACATCTGAGGCTCAGAGATGGGCAGATCATCCCATAGGTCACACAGCCAAAGCATTCATCAGGTGCCATAGACACAGGGCTGAGGACCTATAGGCTTAGAGATGGGACTCCAAGACTCCTCCCTCCTAGACTTTGCCTTGGCCACGATACCATGCCTGGACTTCCTTCTTTCTTCACCAAAACACTGAGGCAGCCCCCTTGTCCTTAGCAGAATATCTAGATATCTTTAAAGATCACTGATTGCTTTGATTTTGTAGGGTCCAGCTCATACTCTTAGATGCCTGTTGATGTCTGCCACCCACTTGTTCATCCTATGGCTTTCCCAACCTTAGTCGAGGTTGGGATAAGGCCCACCTTATGAGTTATCCTGTGCAAAACACTTAGACCAAGATCTCCTTTCCAGCAGGGCTCAGCTAGCTGACTAGCTGGCAGATCCAAGTGCCATACCTACAGTTTGAGAACTGGACTGTGCCCTCTGCCGCCCCCTTGTGGCCACTAGGAGAGGTGCGCTGCTTGGGACCCACCCATGTGTGCCAGGCCCTTTTGAGCGAGCTTGATTACTCTTTCTGGAAAGGCTTCTTTATTCCTGGATGGCTGGCACCTGGACAGCATTCATCTCCTCCACGCATACTCTTCCAGTTTATTGCCCATGGCAACTTCAGCATCCTCACTGAGCAATCAGTCCATCAACTCCCTGGTATTAATTGAGCACAGGTCAATGGTGATAAACCTGGGGATGGGGGATTGCAGAGGGGATGTAAGATGTAGTCCATGACCTTGAGGCATTCAGAGTCAATAAGAAGAGTCAAAACACACAAAAAGATTTTAATAATTTGATGTTCGAGTGTTCTGTGCCAAGAACTTTAAGAATTAAGAAATGAGGTGAAATAGTTGAGGAGGCCCTGGAGAGAGCAGATTTGAACTGGTGTTTGGAAAAAAGGAAGTATTTCAGAAACAAAAGTGTAAAGGAAAAACACTCCTGGGAGTTCCCTGGTGGCCTAGTGGTTAGGACTCTGGGCTTTCACTGCCGTGGCTTGGGTTCAATCACTGGCTGGGGAACTGAGATCCTGCAAACTGCGTGGCGTGGCCAAAAAAAATAAAATAAAATAAAATAAAGGAATCTACTCCTACATATCTCCTTTAATCTCATTCTACCACCACACTACTTCTGGCACCAGATATGTGAGTTTTCCAAACATCAAGCAATTCTGTGACACCAACTGGGTATCCAACAATTTAACTCAACTCTGACACTGTCTACCAGGAGATAGCATCAGATCCCATAGATTAAGGGCTTAGTCCCACAGACTGTACCCCCCCACCTTCAGATGGCCAACTGCAAGTCCAGTTACCTGTGCTTCTGACAGACCAGTTATAACTTGGAGATTCCCACTACGCCCTCCTCAGTTTTGATTAATTTGCTAGAACAGAACTCAGGAATTACTAGATTACTGGTTATTGCAAAAGGATATAACTCAGGAACAGCCAGATGGAAGAGACACAGGGCAAGGTATGTGGGAAGGGGCACAGAGAGCTTCCATGCATTCTCCAGGGCACCACTCTTTCCAAATGTGTTCACCAACCCAGAAACTCTCCACCCTCTACTCTTGAGTTTTTAAGGAGGTTTCATTACATAGGCACGACTGATTAAAAATTAGCCATTTTAATTAGCCAACAATTAATTCAACCTCCAGCCCCTCTCCCCTTCCTGGAAGAGGGGCTGAAAGTTTCAACACTCTAATCACTGGTTGTTAGTCCCCCAGCAACCAGCCCCCATCCCGAGGAGCTTTCCAAAAGTCACCTCATTAACATAAACTCTGGTGTGGCTGAAAGGGGCTTGTTCAGAATAACAAAAGACACCCATTTCACATTTGTGCTCTTAACACTTAAGAAATTCCAAGGGTTTTAGGAGCTCTGTGGAAGGAATGGGATGAAGCCCAAATATATATCTCTTATTATAAATCAAAACATCACAAGAAGGAAAAGAAGAAGAGTATTCTGGAAGGAAGTAACAGCCATGAGAAGTAACAACTAAGAAAAAAATTATGGCTAAAATAATATTTCCAAGATAAAAGATAAAATGGAGATGAACTCTCTTCTTATTACCTTCTCCTCTGGGTGCTCCTACCACTTTCTTCACTTTGTTCTTCTTCTTTGCCCAGCACACATTGCCCTTGGACACTAATGTCCTTCCTACTATTCATTAGGACCCTGTTGGTTGCAAGTAACAGCAAATTACATTAGCTTAAGCAAAAAAGAAATTTATGAATTGAGAAGGACATGGACAGCAGTGGCAAAGGGTATGACCAAACCCAGGGTTGACACCATGTCACAGTGTCGTCAGCTTTCGTGAGTGTTCTCTCTCTCCCTCCCTCCCACACCCCATCTCCACCTCCATCTCTCTCTTCCCCTCCCTCCTCCTCTCCCTCTCCCTCTCCATCTCCACCTATGTTTTTCACTCTGTCCTCACTCTTTGAGAGCCTCATTCTCCCCTACCACAACTGGGCTTCCTCCAAAAGTCATGGAGGATGGCCTTCAAGGTAACCAGTACAACCAGTACTTCTAGTCGTGACCCCAGAAGTCTTCCCCACTAGTTCCATCAGAAGACTTCCCAGGAAAGACTTCTACTGGCCCAGTAAATGATAGAGGCAATGACCCTTCTATGTTCTTCCCTTTATCGAGGGGCTAGAAGTCTGGGAAGTGCATGTTCCAGAGTCCCTGCCTTCAGAGACAGCAGTTCTTCAAGAAGACGCACTTGCCAAGATGTGAAAGGCAGAATAAGGCAGAAGCCAGGTTTTCGCTCCTCTGGCACTGTCAAACTTTAGGCTTAGGCAGACATGACATTTTGCAGTGGTCTCTAAGTATTTTCCTGAAAATCTCGTGCCTCAGGATGGGAGGCAGCTGTGATCATCCCTACTGGATTCCTGAGTTCCTTCAAATTCCTGTCTATGGAAGCTGGAGGCCTTCCTTGACCTTTGTCCAGATTTTCCAGATGCCCTTCATTAAGTCCCTTCCTTCTTAAAATACCTGGAGCAGTTCCTGTTTGTGACCATATCCTAACTGATACATGCATACACCCCAAGGGTGGAGCATGGGGTAAGGTCTGTAACACTAATGAAGGAAGAAGTGGAAGAGTGTGCCAGCAGCCAAATCAAGAGCAACCACATTTCCCCATGGAAAACAGTGGGAGGCAAGTTCAGGTGGGTGGAATGAGGTAAGACTATAGGGAAGGCGCTGAATGCCAGGCATTCAGAATTGATGTACCCGGGAAACAGGAAGTCAGGTGAATATGATGGCAAGGGCCACATTTTAGGGTAACCAGTGGTGGTGGTATGGGACAAGTTAGGGTGTGGGCAACAGAAAGGAGACAGTGACAACACAGGTGCCCTAGAATGGGAGAGGTGTGAAAGCACAAGAAAAGGTGCACCTGAGAGATGTGTGGAAAAAAAGGATATTTTGGTATGTCACATTTAAGGACTTCATAATAGCTGCCATTTATGAAGTTACAATTAATTACACATCAGATAATCTGCTCATTTTTTGTTTTACTTATGTTAGGTATAACCCTGCAAGGCAGGAATCATCGACATTGACAAATGAGAAAACCAAGGGTCAGGAAGAGTAACTGATACGCTCAGTGTCAATCAGCTAGAGGTCACAGCCAGGACGTGAACTCACTTCTATTGCTCTTCAAGGCCTGCACTCATTCCCCCAAGCTATGCTGCTTTTCTTCCAAAACTATGGTCCTTATAACAGTACAAAGGGCCAACCTTGACCCTCACCTGGCAAGAGGCAGTGGAGGACAATCAAAAGGGCAAAGCCTTTGTCCCTCTGACACAAAGCCCTAAGAAGACTACAATCATGAGGAAGCAATGTGACAAATCCAAACTGAGGGATATTCTGCAAAGCAACTGGCCTGGTCTCTTGAAACATGTCAGTGTCATAAAAGACAAAAGATAAAGACTGGAATGCCAAGCTCTAGATGAGAAGAGACTAAAGAAATGTGACAACTAAATACAATGAATGATCCTGAATTGGATGCTGAATCAAAAAAAAAAAAATGGTATAAAGGACATTTTAGGGCTTCCCTGGTGGCGCAGTGGTTGAGAGTCCACCTGCCGATGCAGGGGACGCGGGTTCATGCCCCGGTCCGGGAAGATCCCACGTGCCGAGGAGAGGCTGGGCCGCTGAGCCATGACCGCTGAGCCTGCGCGTCCGGAGCCTGTGCTGCGCAACAGTGAGAGGCAAAAACAGTGAGAGGCCCACAAACCAAAAAAAAAAAAAAAAAAAAAAAGCACATTTTATAAACAATTGGTAAAGTAAACCAAATATCAAATAGTAATGTATTAATGTTAAACTTCCCAAGTGTGATAATTTTACTGTGGCTTTGTGGAAGAATGCCATTGTTCTCTGGAGATGAGCTGAAATATTTAGGAGTAAATCAAGCGCTTTCAAGTCATTCTCAAATGAATTAGCAAAATTGATAGACAGATAGATGGATGGATAGATAGATACAACTGAAAAATGTTGCTCACCGTCTGGTTCTCCAAGAATGAAGTCTCTAGCCACTGCAGTCGCTGACCTTTAACACGCCCTGAAAGGAGTTCAGGATGGAGATCAGGAACAAGGCACTCTGATCTGGAAAAACTGGCAGAACAGGCCTTCAGATAGTTAGATATTTTCAGGAGGAAATTTTATGAACCCAATTTCTTGCATCTTCTCATACCTAGAAAAGCACTAAAATAATTAATGGAGACATCTGCTCCCCGTGACCAGCAGCAACCTTCTGCAGAGATGTGTGCTTGATTGCACGTACCCCCTTCACCAAAACCATATATACACTGACCTCCCCCCCACCTCTTTGGAGCAGTCCTCAGAGCTATCTGAGAGTCTGTCTCCCAGACTATAGTCCTCAGTAAGTCCCCAAATGAAACTGAATTCACAGCTCTCAGGTTGTGCAGTTTTGTTTTGTTACTTTCAGTCGACAATAGATAGAGTGCAGACGTGGCAAAACGTTAAAAATTAAAGGGTCTGTGGGGTTGGTTGTACTATTCTTGCAATTTTTCTGTAGTTTGAAATCTTTCACAATAAAAAGTTAAAAAAATTTTTAAATGCATCCATCCCTACTCCAAAACAAACAAACAAACAAACAAAAAACCCAAGGAAAGAAAGGAGGCCTTTACATTGAACATACCTGAGTCCAGCTCTTATTAGCTGTGTGACCTCTGAGCCCTCACGTCCTCAGCTGGAAGATAGGTGTTAGTGCCCACCATATGCGCTTCTGTGGGACGACGAAGCCTGGAGCACAGTGGCCAGCACAGCGTCCTCTTGTGTTCTGTGTCCACATTTGTTCTCCTCCCTTCCTCCCGCCTAATCTCCACTTCTCAGAATCCATTACACTGGCCTCTGAGGGAGATTTGCTCAGGATAAATAATAAGAACCATATGTCCCTTAGAATGCACAGGTGAGGTGACATGATGCCCTGCAGAGACACACTGCCTGAGAGGCAGGCTGGCTGACCCTCTGAACGTTGGGTCTTGGGAACAAAAGTAAGAAATGCCTCCACCCATGATTTCTTGGTTCACGCCGTGGATCAGAGCTCAGAGACTAGCCAGAGCTTCTCATAGTGGGATAGTTGGCTCGCCTGAGCAGAATCAGCTGTGGTTCATGTAAAAATGCAGATTCCTGAGCCCCACTAGGCTCTGAGTCGGCTTCTCTGCAGTGCAGGCAGTGTACATTCTAATGCTATTTTCTGAGGTGATTCTGAGGCACACTCAGAGTTTAAGCACCCTTGACCCACACCGTGGCCAGGGTGAACGTGTTACTTTATAGCAAAATTGGTCCATTGGAGAAGTGGATTTTCTGTGGTTAGAGCCTAATAACAACATTAAAAGGTTATACCCACCACAAAAATGTCCACAAATGGGAACAAACGGAAATACGAATCGCGTTGTACATAAAGATAAAAGCAGGAGACTTAGGAAAGCAATGTTTCTCTCTGGGCTTTGCCAGCTCCAGACTCAAAGTATATGAATGAAATGCTGCCCCGGTCTTGGGGGTGAGGGGACCCCCCAAATCCATCACTGTCTGCACCTTGGGACTAGAGCGATCAGAGCGAGCTTGAGGCCCAGGCAGAAGGAACCCCTCCACTCAACATGACTATGGGAAGCCACAAAAGCCAGCAGTTCCCTCCTCTGGACATGTGCAACAAACGGTGATTCTACAGCATCTTGCAAACCCCAAGGGCTCCAGAAATTCCAGTGACTGAGAGGCTCACTTAGATTCTGCCCTGGATCTGATGGGACCTCTCCCACTGGCCTTACAGGACTCTGTCTGGGGATGGTCACTCTGTGGGCTGCCACCTGGGTGAAAGAAGCTGACAGGGATCACCTGGTTTTCCCTGGGGCCAGGTGAGGGCTTGCTAGTGGACATTTGGTTTGGAAGGTGCTGGGCTCCTCTCTCTTCCAGCCAGGAGATCAGATCATTTGGCCGGGAGAGCTCCCCTCTGATCCTGAGAATCTTCTATTCCAAACCAGCTCTGGGCAGGCATTTACCCACATGGTCAGAGTTATTTTGGGAGATTCAACATCCTGCACTCAGCCCCAGGGAGGGAAAGAGACAATTGGGCCGTCTCCAGCCCCACTCCATCCCCAAACTGAGACAGATGACAGACTGCCCTTTGCAACTTTAACTCTTTCCTGGCTCTGGCTAAGAACAATGCACCCCCTCAGGTAAGGCTCAGATGGCAGCATGGTAACCACTGTCATTCAGGAAAAAAATAAAATGTAGCGCTAGAAAATTATGCATGGAAAATGACTTTTAAAAATTGTCTTTAAGAAAAACAAATACCGTATGCTAACACATATATATGGAATCTTTAAAAAAAAAAAAGTTCTGAAAAACCTAGGGGCAGGATAGGAATAAAGACGCAGACGTAGAGAATGGACTTGAGGACACAGGAAGGGGGAAGGGTAAGCTGGGACGAAGTGAGAGAGTGGCATGGACATATATACACTACCAAATGTAAAACAGAAAGCAAGTGGGAAGCAGCCACATAGCACAGGGAGATCAGCTCGGTGCTTTGTGACCACCTAGAGGGGTGGGATAGGGAGGGTGGGAGGGAGACGTAAGAGGGAAGAGATATGAGGATATATGTATATGTATAGCTGATTCACTTTGTTATAAAGCAGAAACTAACACACCATTGTAAAGCAATTATACTCCAATAAAGATGTTTAAAAAATTTAAAAATACAAATTGTCTTTAAATATTACAACGAAAATGAGAGGATGGAAATTGCATCAGAAGAACGTCTGTGTGTGTGTGGTTTAACATTGAAGAAATCAATCACCTTCCCAACTGTGGGGCTTAAAGTAATATTGTACCTTTTAGGAACTCCGAAGTTTATTTTGGAGATGAGAATCAGATTAAAGGCCTCAGATTTATAGTTTTACACACTAGCACACAAAGTCATTCACATTAGAACCCAGGTAAGTGTAATCCTGGAGATTTTGATGTTTGCTGCCTTTATGCCTTCTTTTTCAATTGTTCCCTACAGTGTCGGGGAGCTGTGCCTTGTACAGGAGAGGAGCTCTGTGAAAAGAAGGGAGAAAGGCAGGCAGCAGGGAGCAGAGTCTGCGATGATCCTACAAGGCTGACAAGTGCCCTTTTGCATGTGGAATGTCTGTGGTTCCTCACTGGTGTGGTTTATTAGGGCCTGAGGTGGTAACTCATATTAAAGAATCCTGCTTTGCTGGATCTCTATGGGATTCAGTTCCACACACAGTCACTCAGGGCCTAGCGTTTGGCAGGTGCTGAGGGAATCCTGGGGGTGGACAGCAATGAATCATGCACAGCCCCAATGACTTGCCCTCCAGAAGTCTCTCAAGGACAGGAGAGTCACACATCCTGGGCACTTGGCATCCCCCAAAACAAATCAACCTGGAACTGTGAGACCCCCATAGACAAAAACCTGACGGTGCCAGTGGGCTTGTATTTTAGTCTTCCGAGGCTGCAGAAAAACCCTGCTCTGTTCTTGATCATCACAAAACAAGCACAGCCTTCCTTCTCCACCTCCACTGGTCGGCCTCAGCTCTGGCCTGCCCTGGTCCTGCCTCCTCGCAGAAGCAGTGCCTGACTCGGCCTAACCAGCCCTGGAGATATCCTTATTTCTCACTGCTTCTCCCCACCCCATCCCCACCTCATCTCCTTGGGACCTGGGCTGACCTCCTGCCCCCCTCGACCCTGTCTGGTTCCTTTCTGTCACACTTTCTGCTTCCTCCTTGCTCATGGGCTCCAAGCCCCTTCTGCTGTGCCTTCAGGCTGCCTGACCCAGAATTTTATGCCCTCAGACTCCTCTGGCCTACTTCTGGCTTTTCCTGGCCTAAACTGTCATGCTGCCAGGTGACGATGGTAGCCTTCAAGACTGCCATCAGACCAAAGTTTGAGACTCAAAAAGTCACTGCATTTGGTGGGTTGCAAACCCCCATAATTTAGACTGCAATTGCTAGAGGATAGGCAGTTTGACCATTAAGATGCATCACTGCAAATCAACCAATTCAAGCGAATCAAAGGAACTTTTAAACTGGCTCTAAAACTTTAGATACAGCAGAGTCCCTGGAGGGCTTTCTGGGCCACAACACCCAGTTTCTGATTCTGAAGGTCTGCAAGTTGGAATTTATATTTTTACCAGGTTCTCAGGTGAAGCTGATGCTCTGGTCCTGGGACCTCACTTTAAGAGCCCTTGCTCTAGTCCAGTGGTTTTCAAACTTGGCTGCACATTGGACTCATCTGGGGAGATAAAAAAATAGAGACTAATTCCTGAATCCACCCTCAGAATTCTGATTTAATTGGTCTGGAATACAGACTGGTCACTAGATGTTGTATAAGCTCTGTAGGTGATTCTAAATTTTCAGCTGGAGTTGAGAGGTCTGCTCTCGTACATTTCATCAGCAGAGGCTGGGCTAGGGGTGGGGAGCTGCCTTTATCTCCCATGAGAACAATTGCCTGAGATCACCAGATAAAATATAGGACACCCAGTTAAATTTGAATTCTAAATAAACAACAAATAATATTTTACTATAAGTATATGGCAAATATTGCATGGATGTCCATTTTTGTTATTGTTATTTTGTTTCATTTTTTCTAAACCTGGCAACCCTGCCCTTAGACACTCCATGACATGGAATGAGAAACAATGATCTGCCAGCTCCCATTTTATAAATAGTAACATCGAGGCCGCAGAGGCCATGTAGGAAGTCAGAAGAGAGCCAGGATAACAACTCAGCAGTCTTGACCTCCATCCAAACTCCTTTCCTTCCATCACACTTAACTGTGCTAAAGACACTTGTATCCTTCTCTTGTTAGGGGGTTATTGTCAGTCTCCTGGAGGTGACTTCAAAGGGGTCAGTCTGATTTATGTCCTCTCTGCTGCTGTCCCAGTCCTCACCTCCACCCTCCCTTTCTACTGCTGCAGGTACCATAGAGGCTGTCCTGGGGTATGGCCATTCTCGGGGCCATATAATTAATGGCCACCTTGAGGAGGAAGTGGGCTGGAAGTGGTCCCAGCCACATACAGCCGTGAGGGAGAGCCCATAATTGGGTAACACAAGGACAAGTGGGATTTGGCACAGGCAAATGACAGGCAAAGCATGTTGGGAGAGGCCCACTTAATTCACAGAGACACTTGGAATTAGTTCTAAATTCTCTGGGAAGAAATCAAGGCAGCAGCATAAACAGCTCAATTAAATTGTCGGCTCAACATTCAGTACACAGTAATGGTCAAAACACAGCCTTTAACCTAGATATAGAGGATTATCTTTTGACCAGCAATGAGATTCCTAAGATTAGTTGTACCTGAGGTGGAGGGAACAACAGAGCTGGCTTAGCGACACCCCGGACAGGCTTGCGTGTCAGCACGACTGGGACTTGTGTGGAAGGGGCTACCTGGACCCCGCAACCTTCCTGGAGCCCCCTCCGGATGCTGGGAAGACAGGGATGAATCTCGTTGTGCTTCCTCTGTGGAAGAGACACAGTCTGGGAACAGATCCCCTGAACACATCTGCTTTAAAAATGTGGCAAGTCTGACATGCTCCCACCTCCAGACCAAAGGTAAAGCCACTAGCACCAGGTCCGAGGCAGAGAGACGGCGAGCTTTAGCCCTCTGCTATTCTACTCTCCACGATCAGCCACTCACGTTCACTCATTCATTTTGCAAGTATTGATCCCATGCCTGCTAGGTGTCAGGCCCTGTTCTTGACACAGAAGATATGCAGTGAACAAAGAGTAAAGATCCCTACCCCATCGTGGGGCAAGACAAAGAATAAACAAGAACAATAAATATGCTGTGTGTGAAATGGGAATGAGTGATAACTCAGAAAAATAAAGCAGAGATGAGGATAGGAAGTGTTGAGTGTGGAGGACAATTCTAGATATGGTGCCCAGGAGAGGCTTCACTGAGCACGTGCCATTTAAAAAAAGACCAGAAGGGAGTGAATGGTGACAGTAGTGGGGAAGCATTCCAGGCAGAGGAGATGTAGTGCAAAGGCCCAAGGTGAGAGAGGGTTCAAGGAACAGCAAAGAGGCTGCCTGGCTGGAGTGGGAATTTAAGGGGACTAGGTCATGTGAGGCCTTATGGGCCACTGTAACTATTTTTGGCATCTTTTAGGGACATGGGGATTTTTTTTTTCTTTTTTGGCTGCAAGCATGCCATGTGGGAACTCCCCGACCAGGGATCGAACCTGTGCCCCCTGCAGTGGAAGCATGGAGTCTTAACCACTGGACTGCCAGGAAAGTCCTGGGACATGGGGATTTAATGGGGGATTTAATCAGATTTTTTTTTTTTTTTTTAGTACGCAGGCCTCTCACTGTTGTGGCCTCTCTCGTTGTGGAGCACAGGCTCCGGACGCGCAGGCTCAGCGGCCATGGCTCATGGGCCCAGCCGCTCCGCGGCATGTGGGATCTTCCTGGACCGGGGCACGAACCCGTGTCCCCTGCATCGGCAGGTGGACTCTCAACCACTGCGCCACCAGGGAAGCCCCCAGATTCATTTTTAATAGGATCACTGGCTGCTGCATTGAGAAAGAAACCAGGAAATGGGTAGGATACGCCTGCAATGATACAGTCAAGGGATGAAGGAGTTGGACCGGGGTAGGGGCAGTGGAGGTGGTGAGACATGGTAGGATTCTGCATATTCTTTGCTGATGGGCTGGATGGAGCAGGAATAAAAAAGGTGTCAAGGATGACTGAGGGTTTTGCTTCAGGCCTTCACTGAGGATTAATGACTCTCAAATCCATGCTTCCAGCCGAGACTCCCAGGCTGGTACATAGCAAGGGACTGACATTAACATTTGACAGACTGAACTGAAAAAGTTTTGCCTGATGAATCTGTTGGGATGGTGGCACCATTTTTCTAGGCCTCCACCAATGGCAGAGCCTACCTCCAGATATTGGGAGTGCAGAGAAAAGAGCTGCCACGTCCCCACCTTGGTCTAAAATGAGAAGTTGAGACAGGGCAGAAACAGGAACAGGACCACACCCAACCCTTCCAATAAGAAAACTGGGGACAAGAAGGAGGGATATAAAAGTAAAAAATGCCAAGAATGATGGCCATAGAATTGGGTTTGTGATGTCAAAGACACTGGATGCCAATCCCAGCCATGCCTCTTGACTCAACCTCTTCCCTTCACTGGTCTGCCTTCTCTCTGAAATGGGGTGGCTGGCTTTCTGAAGAGTCTGTCCAGCTCTAACCATCTATAGCGTTCTGATCCTTTTCTTACAAGTCCCTGTCTCCTCTAACCATTTGACACACTGCTTCTCCAACATCGTCTTTCGGGAACTTTTCTGTTTCCTTTCAGACTGATTATTTCTGACTCTGAGTCTTGTAAGATGTCACTATTAGTTCCCAAAGGAAAACATCCATGTGTTTTTTTGCCTGCTTGAAATAAATACTATCTTAGGTCAGTTACCCCATCTGTAAACTGGGAATAACACGAGATTGTAGGGATGCTGAGGAGGGTTAATTATATACAGAACATGTAGGGGTTGAGCACACAAGTGCTCTGGAAGTTTTTGGCATAATACTATAGCATTACAATAATTTTGGCTTGCAAATTATACCCCAGCAGAGGCATCACATGGAAAAGTGGGTCTGACCCCATGGCCTGCTGAAAGTGAAATGGGAAATATAAGTTGTGAAATATAACTTCTCTTCCTAAACCTTTGGAAAAGGCAGAGATCACTCTTCCATGTGCAACCCACGTGCAGGGAACAAGTTTCCAGATCCTGGAGAAGACTCTCTTGCCCAGGGTGTCCTAGCCTGCTGCCAGGATCTGGCCATTCCTCCTTCCTGAACCTAGAAGCAGAGATGGGAAGGAAGGGAGCAGGAGAGGAGTTGTGGTTGGTTGAAAGGTGGGGCTCGCAAGGAGAATGTCCTTGCCTTTCAGGTTTTCTATTTGAGCCTCTCTTACTTGTGGGATAATTAAGTGCTTATACAGTAGAGGAATGAGTGAAAGGGTAATCTGAGATAGTTAAGTCTAGGGACACCCAAAATAAACATCTTAGCTCAGGTCAACTTCTGGGTCCTCTCACCATCCTCCAGACACCCCACAAACACCCCCACACACACATCATAGATTATTTGCTGTGAAATTCTAAAAAAGTAGATCTCAGGCAATGAAGGGGCTGTGTAGTTGTTGATGATGTCTGTGACTATGGCGTCATATAGTGGGTTTGTAAAATTTAACTGGCTCATAGAGGATGACAGTCCTGTCTGACCAGAGGGGAAGAGCAAATAGCTTGATCCTGAAGAGACAGTTTGCAGTCAATTCCACTGCATCACTGTTTGTGGCTGAGTGGACAGAGCACAGCCTTCAGAGTAAGACCCAAGTTGGAGTCCTGGTTCTGCCACTTGCCCCACAGTGGCCTCAGGCAGGGGAAGAGGCCCTCCCTGCCCAAGAGCCTCAGACTGCGAGTCTGACCTCCACCTCCAGTTCTGGCCAAAAGAGTCACTGGCCTTGCTCCCTGACCTAACAGGTCCCACTTTACCTACGGGATACAGGAAAAAATAGATTCCCTCAAAGCCCATCTATAATATACAGGTTGCCAGTGGAGGTAATTAATGATTTGGACTATAATCCTAATAAGTTAGCATCCTTAGAGAATTTCTCAGGTGTCAATTCATACCTTAGGGTATGCCATATTCTGGAGCTTGATTAGCCTAATTCAAAAGAGCACCGGCTCTACTGGCAGTTACCTCATTTCTAGGCAGCTCCTCTTCCTCGGCAGAGCATATGCCGCCTCCCAGGAAAAGCTTTACCAAGCAAGCTGTGCTCCTCACTCGGCCTCAGTTTCCGCATTTTAATAATCAGAGGACGACCTTAAATTGCAAAGCACAGACTAGTAGAAATGACACAATTTCGGCGCCACCATACCGGGAACTGGCATCCAGGCCCACCTGGGTGACCTTCCTCTGAGCCTCAGTTTCTCCGTCTGTAAAATGAGGGCCCTGGATTAAATGGAGCCTTGCCAGCTCCTACAATCTTAGGCTTTAAACGTTCCCACAGCTCGCTCTGCCAGGTTGGCCGTGAACAGAGTTAAAGCCACGACTTCCTCAGAGGTGAAAAGGTAAGCAAACATTCCGACCTCCCCTTAGCTTGGCTCTCCAACTGGTGGGGGGCCGGACCCCTGCCGCCTATCCTGACCGCATCCGTCATCTGGATTGTTAAAACGCTCATTTGCATAAGGATTCCTCCGAAGGTCTGGCACAGTGGGCTGAACCGGAGTCTTCGCCCCTTTAAGTAGGGAATAGACACCCTGTCCCTAAGGGGTCTCGGCACCGCAATTCCTCCAAGCGGGTCACGCCGTAAACTAGAAAAGCCTCGTGTTCCCAGCAGTGGGGATCCCTGGGTAGCACAGCGCGCGGGTCCCGGGGAAGGGTCTGGCCTCTGCGCGCTGCAGGCTTAGGCTGGCAACCTCTCGCCCTAGGAGGCGGCGGACTGCCAGCGAGACGGGGCCGGTTGCGCCGCGGGACCCCGGCGCCCTCAGGCGAGACCCAGGGCCTGGCGCCGAGGCGGCCACAGGAGGTGGCGCGTGCTGAAGAGGGGAGCTACTTCTGCCCAGGACTCGGGCGCAAGAGGGGCGGAGCCAGGGCCGAGGTCTGGCAGCAGGACGCGTGGGGGTGGGTGGGGCGGAGTCTGCGGGGGCGGGATGGGGGCGGGGCGCGCGCGGGCCCAGGGAGGGCGGGGCCGCAGCGCGGGGCGGGCGCTGGCGGCCCGAGTGTCACACACGCGGCGGTTCGGGAGGCGGCGACAGCGGCAGCAGCAGGCGCCGCCGGGACGGGCACGGGCGCGCGGGCTCGGGCGGGCGCCGGCTGCCTCCTCCCTCCTTCGTCGCTTGCTCGCTCGCTCGCTCGCTCGCTCTCCGGCCCGCTTGCTAGCCGGCCGGGTGCCGAGCTCGCTACAGCGTTCTCGGGAAGGAAGAAGTGGGGGGCCGAGGACGCCGACAAGTTCCAGCAGTACCGGGAATCCGGGCCAAGGCGGTGGCTGCGGTTCCGACGGGGCAGGAGCGCGCTCCGTGGCGGAGCGCACGGCCAGAGCGTCCGAGGAGGGGGGCGCCCGGGCCTTTAGTTATCTGTGGGGCCGCGGCCGGATCCCATGAGACGCGCCCGCGAAGGGCACGAGATCCGAAGCCTGGGAGGCGCGCGGAGGAGGCGGAGGGCGGTGCTGCAGCGGCCGGAGCCCGGGAGCGGCCGGCAGGAGGCAGCGGAGAGAACTTGAACTTGGCGTCGGGAGCGGGCGCCCCGGACGCCCCTCGCCGGGGCGGGGGCGCCAAGGGACCTGGGCGGCAGCACTGCCCCCCGAATGGCCGCGGCGGCGGACCCGGCTCCCGCGCCGCGGCCCTAGGCGGCCTCTCGCCATGGCCAAGTGGCTGAACAAGTACTTCAGCTTGGGCAACAGCAAGACTAAGAGCCCCCCGCAGCCGCCGCGGCCCGACTACCGCGAGCAGCGGCGCCGGGGCGAGCGGCCCTCGCAGACCCCCCAGGCCGTGCCGCAGGCCCCCTCGGCCACCTCGGCGTCCTGCGGTACGGCCGCCGCCTCCTGCTTCTCGGCCTCGTCGGGATCGCTGCCCGACGACAGCGGCAGCACTAGCGACCTTATACGCGCCTACCGCGCACAGAAGGAGCGCGACTTTGAGGACCCCTACAACGGGCCCGGCTCGTCTCTGCGCAAACTGCGCGCCATGTGCCGCCTGGACTACTGCGGCGGCGGGGAGCCAGGCGGGGGGCAGCGTGCCTTCTCGGCCTCGTCCGCGTCGGGCGCCGCGGGCTGCTGCTGTGCCTCCACTGGCGCGGGCGCCGCCGCGTCTTCGTCCTCGTCCTCGGGCTCCCCTCACCTCTACCGCAGCAGCAGCGAGCGGCGGCCCGCCACTCCAGCCGAGGTGCGCTACATCTCCCCCAAGCACCGCCTCATTAAGGTGGAGAGCGCCGCGGGCGGTGCCGCAGAACCCTCGGGGGGCTCCTGCTCAGGCGGTCGCACCTGGAGCCCGACGGCCTGCGGAGGCAAGAAACTGCTCAACAGGTGTGGCGCCTCGGCCGCGGAAGAGAGCGGTGCCGGCAAGAAGGACAAGGTAAGGCGCCCCTCGGCCTCACCCGAGGTTCCAGAGCCACTGTGCGCACGGGTAAACTGAGGCACCGCTCTAGTTTCGAGTTCCTACATCCACTCGGGCTAGGACCTTTGGGGTCAGGCCTCTCAACGGTGCTTCCCAGTTCTGCCTCTGCATGCGCTTTGCCCCCGATCGCCGGCCTCCTGACACAGTCTCTTTCACTGCTGCTGCCAAAACCTCCTCTCTCTGAGCCCACAGCCAGGTGCCCCTTTCGGAAGTAGCCTGACGAGAGCGCCCCGCCCAGCCTTGCCCAAGAGACACCTAACTAGCCCTTCAGACCCCCGAGGAGGAAAGTCAGAGAGGCAGAGCTGTCACGGACTTAAAAGCGTGTTTACTCTTGTCTACCTCCTCTTCCTCCTGCCCGATTCTATACATGGGAAACTGAGGTCCAGAGCTGGGAAGGGACTCGCCGGATATTACCCATTTCCGATGGCAGATTCAGACCGGCTGTCTTTAAATGGATATATGTAAATCACTCTAAACGCCCTGCCCTGACCCACCCCCCCGCTCCAGGTTTCGAAATGGGACGGCCTTTTGTACTGGAGCTGCACCGGGAACCCCCAAGCGTGCTCTTCCAGTTGCAGTGAGCTGGCCTACAAGAGCGCTCCACTTAGACCTGTCAGTTCCTCCAGCCGCGCATGGGAGGGGTCCGCCTACCCAGCCAGCTGGAAGGAGACCCACCCCTCCAAAACCTCACCTTCCTTCCTGACCTTGCCCCCACCCCATACAGCCCCAGGGATGAGGGGGACGATTTTGTGCAACCCCCCCTCCCTAACAAATCAGACCATCTCGATACCCACCTTTGAAGCAGGTTAGTTAATTCCAGCCAGATGGGGCCCTCTCCTTCCCCTTCACACGCCTGTGACACCCTCCTTTCCCCCATGAAATAATACTTGTTCTGTCTACTTCTGGTGGAAGGCAGTGTTTTGATTACATCTGAGGCCCAGTGCCTTGCGATGGCTATCAGGCCGCTGTCCCTCTTGTTCTCCTCTGGCCCCCTACGTTCTCCCAAAGGTAAACTTTTGCCCAGGTGTGGGCTGGGGGAGACTGATAAAGTCTGAGTTTCTTTTAGGACTGGATGTCCAGAAAGGAGGGAGACAGGCTCCTACCTGCCAGCTGGTGCTTGGAAAGGGATCGTTTTTGTTTTCCAGGCAGGAGGAGTAAAGGGATGCCCCTCCTGATTTTTTTCTGCCTGACTTCCTCTCCCCCAAGGTCCTAGGTCCCCCGAGTACTCCCTCCTCCCCCGGCTGGGTCTGCCGAAGGCATCGTGGGCAGTCGGTGGATTCCATCTCCGTCTGGGCCAGTTTTGGGGACACATCTTGGAAGCATGGACTCTGGGCTTCCTAAGCACCCAGGATGCCATACCTAAATGACGAAGAGCTGGAAGCCAGGTGGCCACCCAGGTGCTGCCTTGGGGACAGAGGAGGTTTCTCCAAGAGCCCCCAGGATTATGGGTTTGTGGTTGATCTATGAGGGAAACAGCAGAGAGGCTCCCTGCTGCCTTATGTGTGGCCCAGGCTTGGCTAGGTGCTGGCCTGGGAGAACCTGAAGTCCCTGGGGATGGAAGGACGGCCCACCCTAGCTCTCCAGAGAGATTGTGCCTTCCCCCATTACTCCATGACCACCTCCCAGGTGGGCAAATCTCCTTTCTCTACCACTGCTTGTCGTTCTGCTTGCTCACTGAAGTCTTTCTTTATGGTTTTCAAAACTCTAGTAAATGTTTTTTCTAATTATAATTAAGACTGTTTCAAATACTGAGGAATAATAAGTTTTATAGCTGGAGTGTCAAGAGTGTTGAAGACTTGGCTTGTTTGTATTTCTTACAGGTCTTCTCTGTGCTCTCCCTTCCTGGGTACTAGAGCAGGGTCTAGTGAATACTGTGGCCCAGGCCGCAGTGTGCATGATAAGTGCCGTGATGGGACGTGGTCAGGGAGGACCATTATTATGGTTGGCTGCAGAAGAGAGCCTGGTGCTGTAGGGGACTGCAGGTAAAGGCCCTGTGGCCAGAATTCAGAGGTTAGAGTTGGGCAGGACCCCAGAGGGGCAGGAGGGCCCGGGTGAGGGAGGACCTTGAAAGCTAAGCACAGTGAGGGCCAGTGAGGGGGTTTAGCTGCTAAATGATGTGAGCAAATGTGGTTTTTAAAAAAGATCTCTCTGGGGACTTCTCTGGTGGCACAGTGGTTAAGAATCCACCTGCCAATGCAGGGGACATGGGTTTGAACCCTGGTCCAGGAAGATTTCCCCATGCCGAGGAGCAACTGAGCCTGTGCGCCACAACTACTGAACCTGTGGTCTAGAGCCCATGAGCCACAGCTACTGAGCCCTGCTGCAACTACTGAAGCCTGCGTGCCTAGAGCCTGTGCTCTGCTCACTGCAACTAGAGAAAGCCTGTGTGCAGCAACGAAGACCCAACACAGTCAAAAAAAAAAAAAAAAAAGATCTCTCTGGGCTGTATTTTCACATACTAGGTTGTGACTTTGAGCCCTTTGGTCTTTTAAGAAGTTGTTGTGATCCTTGGAGTTGGAGGGATTGTGGCTACCAGATGTTCTTTCTAACGAGTAGGAGGGGAAGGAGCCCGGAAGGGTCATAGTATGCAGTGGTTCTCAAACTGGCACGCGGAGGACTGGTTAAAACACAGATTGTGGGACCCATGGCCTGAAGTGCCTGAGTCACCACACCTGGTGTGGGGCCTGAGAATGTGCATTTCTAACAAATTCTCAGGTGATCTTTTGCTGCTGATCCTGGGACCACACTTAGAGAACACTAATGAAACAGTGGCTTCTTAACCCTCCCTCTGGGTCTTCTGGTCAGAGCTGCTTTGGGATGCAGACTCTGGATGTCCTCATCTCTGCCCTCTGTGTGGGACTGCCTCCTAATCCGGGGCTAACACCCACCCCCAATTCCTGGCCAGGCAGCCAGGAGGCAGCCTGGTTTTCACATTATTTCCAGCCAGATAGCTTTTGGAAGGTCAGGCGTACTGCAGATCCAGCCCTGAACACCCCAGAGCCCGCCTTCTGCCCCTCACCCACAGATCCAGGAAAACCTACTTTAGCCCACTTAATCTCAGACCCAGCTTCCTTTTTTCTGTTGTTAGGAGTTAGGACAAGAACCCCTAGGGCTGCTGAGCGCCGCCTGCGTGCCAGGCCCTGTGTTTTTAACATCGGCCTGTGTTGAGGGTTGCTATGGCATGGGAGTAGGAGCTATTGGTCCACAGATCCTTCTTTCAGGGCCTCCATTGCCACCTCCCAACCAGCTTTATCTTTGGGGGGCCCTTCTCCTGCTTCCCTTAGTTACCTGTGCTTCCTTCTGACACATACTTGGGCATCCTTCTATTCTCCCAGGCAAGTCCCGGGGCACACACACACCTGGTCACATATGCCCCACTCAGCCAGCCTCCAGTTTGGGGCATTTTCCCTTTTAGAATCATCTGTAATAGACTGTGTTTTCAGTTTAACCAGCTTTTCCCTGCACTTACTTTTGTGCTCAGAGATCTCTTGGTACAAGGGC